TCATCACCCAAAGTACATCACAATGTTCCCTGCGATATTGAGCTGACAGTTCACACTGAACCGTGAGCTCAAGAGTCCCGACGTGGGGGTTTCAACCTACAATGTACTATCCAGAGGCCAGAATAATAATCCTCACATTTGATATAGCACCTTATCACATCATTGAGACGTCTCAAAGCAAGACAGAATATACCATAAAGTGAACTTTATGTTTTGTGGGCGAAACATGGCAGCCAATTATGCACAGCAGTGTCACACACACAGTTGTGGATTGAGTGAACAAATTATATTTTCTTTTGAAGGGATTATTACCCCAGCAAACGATCTGCCAATCAACTAACAACCAATTCCGACTTACTGCTCGGTAAATAGAGATGTGGATAAGGAAACTTGTCTAAGGTTTCGCCCCAGCCTGGAATTGAACCATGGTTCTCTCACTTTCTCTAGCCACTACTCTACAGGATTCCAGGAATACCACCAACAGAGCCATTAATTGTCTCATGGTTACTTGTGAGGCCTTGCTTGGCGCAAATTGGCTGCTGCGCTCGTCTACAAAATACAAAAAATATTCTGACTTTCCAGGCACTTTATCAAATACAAGGATTGTGATTCTTTGGGATGAGACTTTTGTTATTCTCTGACAGACGGGCAGAGGGCTATAAAGTAGGACAGTTATTAGGTACATGTTGCTATGGGTGCAGCAGCCGTCTTTTGCTGCCGAACAAACACACAAACATGGATATTTTGTTTGGTTTCTCAAGCAACAGTGGGTCACGAGGAAGTGGTTGATATTCTGTGTTTGGGGACGGGGAGAGGCAATTGCTTGCCCCCAGGTGTGAGTTAACCTGGCTCAGTCAGGAGCACTGTCACCTCGGAGTCAGAAGGTTGTGGGTTCAAGCCCGTTAGGGCTTTGAACTCACCTTGTCTAAAATGACACTCCAATCCAGTGCTGGGGGGGGGGGGGGGAGTGGGGAAGAGGGTTTGCATTATGGAGTGGTAAGAGCCCTCGCTTCGCAAGCGAGAGGACCCAGCTTCGATTCCCGGGCAGGGCGAATCCTTAGGCAAGTTTCCCTATTACATACACACAGGCCTCTGTTTACTTAGCAATAAATTAGGAACCTGGTTGTTCATCGTTTGGTGGATCGCTTTGCTGGAGTAAAAACAAAACAAAAAAAAACTTTATCGTAGAATTAATTGGCTACCCATTGCTGTTCACGAGGTGTTGTTGGCAAGACAGATTTGGTGCCACATATATTAACATCCTTTTCGTATCAATCTTATTTTTGTCAAATACTTATTTTACATGAAAGGTGCTGTATAATTATTATTGCTGTGCTTATGTTAAATAATAATCCTTGCATTTGATATAGTGCCCTGTCACGTCTTCAAGACTTCTCAAAGTGCTTCACAAAATATACTGTCAAGTGAATTGACTGTATATTTTGTGCACAAAGCGCAGCAGCCAATTGTGCACAGCAGCGCCCCACAAACAGTCGTGGATTGAGTGATGAAATTATAATTTTTTATTTTGATGAGATTATTGCATTTGATATAGCGCAAGGATGTTAGTTTCTATACTTGAAGGATGTGACGAGCAAAAGGCACAACATTATTTAATAATGGGCTCTGGGGCACTACCCCGCGTGAAGAGTGCTATATATATGTAAGTTATAATACTTGTATTCAGTACAGAGCCTTTCACATTGGAAAAATTCTCAAAGTGTTTTGAATGTCTCAAAGTGCTTCCCAGGATATACTGTGAAGTGGATAATCGTTTTAGAGTGCGTGTATGGACAAAATCCTCTCTCCCCTCGACCCCACCCATATACAGCGGCAGAGAGACACAACACACCCATACACACGACACACAGAACCACTCCCCTTCACACATGCAGTGAATTCCTAATTGGAGTCCTGTAGCATCGTGGTTAGAGCATTTGCCTTGCAAATGAGACCCACGTTTGATTCCCGGGCAGGGCGAACCTTAGGCAAGTTTCCTTACTCCACACACCTCTAGCAGTGAGTTGGAACCCAGTTGTTAGTCAATTGGAGGATCACTTTTCAGGGGTGAAAAAAAATGTGGTCATTCAATCAACTATTTGTGGGAAGCCGCTGTGCACAACTGACTGCCGCGTTTCACCCAAAAAATTCAGTCAGTACACTTCACAATATCCTATGAAGCACTTTGATATAACGTGATAAAGCGCTGTATCAAATGCAAGAATTATTATAATTACTCAACCCTGACTTAATTTATCACTACTGTACCACTAGTCTTAAATCATAATGCTGTTAATATTCTGACTCATTTATTTACGTATTTATACATAGGCCAAACTCGCCACTCCAGGTAACTCATCACTGAGTCATTTCATCATGGAGTAACGAGTTATCAGGAGTTTACTGTACAAAGCCAGAGAGAGAGAGAAAAACGCACACATGGAGAGAGAGGCAGACAGAGGGAGCAAAAGAGACACAAACACAAAAAAATTAAATTGAAACTGCACAGGTTATAAAGAGGCCTTGAGTAATTTTAAAATCTTACTTCAGAAATATTGTTCAGCTAAAGAACACTACTTATTCTAAGTTCCCACTGTGCAAATAGATCAGTTTGACCAGATAATAAATAATTCCCTGCATTAGGTATAGCTATAACATCAAAGTGTCTCAAAGAGCACTTCACGACTGTTTGTGGGACACTGCTGCGGTTGCCAAGTTTCACCCACAAATTACAGTCAATTAATTCACTTTACAGTATATTCTGTGAAGCAGTTTGAGATGTCTCAGCGATGTGATAAATGCAAGGATAATTATCATTAATAATCATTGTCAAGTTTTGCTGGCAGTTTAAGGTCTTCCATCCCTTCCCTGGAATCAGGCTGATTTAGCCTGAAGGCCCACATTGTGTTGTGTTTGCTGTTAAGGGCTGGATGTACTGAACTCTTCCCCACAGATGTGCTGTGTTTACCAGCTGCTGCCCAGGATTAGGGGTTTGAGTGAGGGAAGAGTTAGCACAACAGGAGATGATGTTGAGGAATTCTCATACTGAAATACAACACACCATCTTCAGGGTCACAACAGAAAGTGATTACTCAAACCATAATGGCCAAACAGACTGAGAAATTTCTATTCTCATCGCTTATACGCAGGGTGGAGGTGGGAATAGCGGTGGAGCTTGCGGGGGGAAATGTGGATGGTAGGAGCTATAGTACAAGGAGGTGGGGGGGAGGGACGAGAGAGGGGGAGGCAAGAAAGAGCATGTGGGCAAGGGGGAAAGAGAGAACCGGGGAATGGAGTGAATGCAAGCTAGGGAGAGGAGCAAGCGAGTCATGGGGAGGGGGAAAAAGAGCGAGTTAGCAAACGGGGGGAGAAAAAGCAGTCGTGGGGGGGAGGGGGAGAGAGAGCACGAACAAGCTGGGAGGAGAGAGAGAGAATAAGTTGGGGGGGGGGGAGAGCGAGTGAACGAGCTGGGGCGGAAGAGCGCAAGCAAGCGGGGTGGAGAGAGAGCAAAAGAGCAAGCAAACGAGGGAGATAGACCAAAGAGGGGGAGAGCGAGCGAGAGCGCGCGTGCATGGGGGAGAGAGAGCAGGTAGAGATGGGCAGAAGAGGGGTATCGAGATTGAGGAGGGGGCACTGGCTGAATGCGAAGTGGGAATGCCGCAGTGCCACCTGCAGCCTGACCCCAGATATGAGCTGGCACCAGGGATAGATGGGCAGGACAGTGGCAGAGAGAGAGAGAGCGAACCGGGTGTGGGAAGCGCAAGCGAGGCACAGACAGGTAGTGCAGGGTGGAGGGGCACAGACAGGTAGTGCAGGGTGGAGGGGCACAGACGGGGGTAGGGACAGGCAGTGTCGGGGGGCGTGGGGGGGGGCAGAAAGTGACAGCTAGCAAATGGCAAAGACGGGTAATTGGAGTTGAGGTACAGATCAGCCATGATCTAATAAAATGTCGGAACAGGCTGAATGGCCTACTCCTGTTCCTATATTGTTGTGAGGAAGCGGGGAGAAAGCAAGCAAGTCACACACAGGCATCAGCAGCGGGGGGTAGAGACAGGCAGACAGAGATGAGGGGCACAGGCGGGCAGAAGCAGAGGGCACATGTGGGCAGAGAATAACAACAGCGCATTTATATAGTTGTCCACACACGGGATAGTGTCTCGGAGGTCTTAAAGGGCAGGTTTAAAGGGTCGGAGGGCAGCAGAGGTGAGTGAGAGGAGATGACTGGGGGGTAAATGGGAGGTGACTGGGGTGGAAAGAGAGAGTGACCCCCATTTTTGAGTTGGCACCGTGCAACAGCAGCAGGGGGCAGACACTGGAGCACAGGCTGGCAGAGCAAAGGAGGTGGCAGAGGCGAGAACAACTTGCATTTATATAACACTCCTCACGCGGGGCAGCATCTCGGAGTGCATAACGCGCAGCAGAGGTGGGTAAGAGGAGGCTGGATGGGGGAAAGGGGCACAGGAGGGCAGTGGATATGTTTGAATGGGGGTAAATGGGGATGGGAGGTTGAGTGGATGAATGGGGGGGGGCGGTGAATTGAAGAGGTGAGAGTGGGTGAAAGGGGGGTAAATGGGGATGAGAGGGTGGTGATGGGGTGACTGGCTGTGTGGGAGGGGGGGTGGGGTGAAGGGGTGAATAGGGAGCAAGCCCAGGGGGCCAGCAGGAGTGGGTGAACGGAGGGTGAATGAGGGTAAATAAGGGGTAGGAGTGGGGAGAGAATAGGGGGGTAAATGGGAGGGTCAGAGAGTGGTGAATGGGGGGGGGGGGGAGGAGAGAGGGCACAGGCGGGCGGCAGAGGGGGTTGAATGAGAGGGTTAGGAATGGGGGCAGCACCTCCCCCGGGTCTTGCCCTCAGCCCCCACGCTGGAGTTGGTGCCAGCCCGGGGGGGGGGGGCAGATGGGCACATGTTTACCCCCCAAAACGCGCGCAAAAATAAACACCCCCAAAACACCTCCCCCTCCCACCCCACCGCCCGCCACAGCGCGGCCGCTCCCTCTACCTGTCTTCTTGTTCTCCAGCGCCTGCTCCAGCTCGGGGAAGGTGAAGTCGGGCAGCTCCAGCCAGCCGCCATAGCGCTCCAGGAACGAGCAGACGACGGCGAAGTCAGGCTTGCTGGCCACCGCCGCCATTTTGGGTGTCGGGAGGACCTCCCCTCCCCCCATCTGACGAGTCCTCCACGATCCCGGTGTGCAACGCTCGCTTTTTTTTTCCCGCCGGCCGACAGGCCGATGTCAACAAACGCAGCCGCGCACGCGCGCTCGTGCGGCTCGCTTGTGCGTGCGTGCGTGCGCGCGCGAGCGTGGAAGGCTGCGCCACGACGCACGCCCTTTCGCTTGTGTGTCCGAGCGTACGTAGGCGCACGTTCGTTTGTGCGCGCGCGCGCGTGTGTGTGTGTGTAAGTTGGTGAGCGTGCGTTCCTGCAGGCACGGGGGGAGGTGATGAGTCCGCCAGTATCCCGGCGTGCTTTGTCGGAGACGCTGCTGCCGGTCGTTGCCCTCCGAGGCAAGTCTGCCAGTATCCCGGCGTGCCTCTCGGGCCGTTGGCAGCGCATGCGCAAGGGATCAACTCCCCCCCCCCACACCGCACCCCGCCCCTTTCCCCGCCCGTTACCCCTAGCAACCGGTCGCCAAGCAGCCAGCATCCTCTTTGGCAACGGGGCATGGCGCAGGGGATGGAGATAATTATATAACGCATCATGTAGTCCTTGCATTTGATAGGGCGCCTTATCGCGCGAGTTGACTGTAATATTTTGCGGGTGAAAGGCGGCAGCCAACAGGGGTGTCCCACAGGCAGCTGTAAGTGCAGGGCGCACAGAGCCCGCCTCCCCTCCGACCGTACCTCACTCACGCCCAACGCAGCGGATACCGCCCCCCCACACCCCCCCCGTCCAGGTTTTCAACGATTTCCCCTCCTCGCGCTCTCCCCATCTCCGCAAACTCCCAACTCACCCAGAACTCGTATCCTCGCCCGCTCTAACCAACAATAGCGATATTACATTTGTATGGCGCCTCTCACGTCGGCAGGACGTTTCCGAGGCGCTGGAGGATCAGCGTTTCGGACCCGAGCTTGGGGATTTGGGGAGGGTGGAGGGCGCGGGCCGGGCGGTGGGTGGCAACGGAGGATGATCGAAAGCATGGTCGAAAAGGAGGGTCTTGAGATGGGTCTTGAAGGAGGCAAGGGAGGGGGCGAGGCTTTGTCAGCCCCATCATTCCCCAGTCCTTGTCAGACTCCACTGGCTCCCGATCACAGAACACATTGAGCTCAAGATCCTCTCGCTCATCTGCAGATCCCTTCATGCCCTGGTACCTCCCTACCTCTCTGACCTGCTTTCTCCCCACTCCACCATCCACTGCCTCCACTCAGCCTTCTCCGACCTCCTGTTTGTCCCTCGTCCACTCTGCTCTGCCATCTTCGGCCAGCCATTACAACCCGAAAATCTGGAACATTCTTCTCAATCCCGCCGCCAGGCCCCCTCCTTCTCTTAGATCACGCCTGAAGACCTTACTCTTTGATTGTGTTTACAGTCACCTCCTCCCCGACTTGGCGTCAGGCTCCGCCACTGTTAAGCGAGACACTGCATGATGTAAAGGGGGACTATGTAAATCCAAGTTGTTTTTCTTGTTGTTATTGGAACTTGTTTACTTCTAATAACTAATTAATGACTGATAGTTCATGCCTTCAGCTCCCTGCCCTCTACCCCTCTTGATTCAAACCCCCAGCTCCTCCAGCTTATCGCTTTCCAGGCCTGGGCATCTCATTATTATTTCACCGTAAAGCAGATTATTTTTTATTTGTGCATTATAGGCCCTGCTGGCATATCACAAAGTACTTTTTCTCTTGTTAAAAAGACTGTTTTCCCCAGCATTGTCCTGGAGGGAAGCATCAAAATCCATGGCTCGAGCGCACACATGCTCTCCGTGGGCCCAAATCAATCAGATTATACTTTTTGTCTGTTAGCAATGTACCTAATCGCTGAAAGTTAATCTGAACCTTCCTTGGTTGATCACCCCAAATAAACTCCAATAACCTGAACCCTACTGTATTACTGAATTCCTGTAGCTCAGTGGTTAGAGCGATCCCTCACGAGCGAGAGGACCAGAGTTCAATTCCCAGATGGGGTGAAACAGGCAAGTTTCCTTACTCCACACTCAAGCCTATTTACCTAGCAATAAGTAGGAAGCCAATTGTTAGTCGTTTGGTGGATCACTCTCTGGGGAAATAATCACTCCTGCAAAAAAATTTGGTCACTCAACCCACGACTGTTGGTGGGACACTGCTGCGTGCAATTGCTCACCGCGTTTCGCCCACAAAATGTACAGTCAATTCACTTTACAGTATATTCTGTGAAGTACCTTCATATGTCTCGAAGACGTGATAAGGCGTCATATCAAACGTAAAGATTATTATTATTGCTTGCTGCACACTAGTTTGACAGATAAAGCGTGGTGGGTTCTGACTTGCTCTTATCAGTGTGGGTTACTTTGTGCATTGAGGTATTTCGCCCACAAATATTCAGTCAATTCACTTTAACATATTTTGTGAAGCGCTTTAAGAAGTCGAGAAGGCGTGAAAAGCGCTATATTAAATGCAAAGATTATTATTACTATATTTCTTCCTCATGTGCAGGAATATTTCCTAGATTTATTGCAGTCCGGAGAATTAATGCAGTCAGGTTCTGCCCCTGTTAAGTGCTCCGAAGGGAGCTGTGTAAATGCAAATTATTGTGCAGGTGAGTAAGCAGAGAAAGCAGGACAGATAGACGATGCATTAGCCTTGTTGCTCAGGTCTGGACGCACTGCGCTGCACCAGGCAACCATTGAACCCACTTTCCTTTTATACTTTCCTGAACCAGTCCACGGTGGTTGTCCATTGATTGTTGTTAGCTCTTAAAGGGAACTCGCCACAGCATTTGAAAAAGAACCCACTTTACCTGAAGCGAGGGGTGCTGCCACCTACTGGTGGAAGGAAGCCAGCATAACTATGTCAACTTAACGATATCCTGCTGCCTCTATTTCTAATGTGATTCTAAAAATATTAATAATAACTTGAATTTTTAAGGTCTGTGCCCTATCCAGGCAGATGTTAAAGATCGCTTGATGCTATTCGAAAATAGAAGCAAGTTTCTTCCAGTGTCCTGGCCAACAATCTCCTCGGAAAAAAATGGTCATTCACCTCGTGGGACCTTGATGCTGTGCCAAAATTTGCTGCCGCATTTGCACACAGAAACACAGTCTAGACGGTGCTCTCAATGGCAAGCTATGCGGTTTCTGCCGGTTGGACTCCAGCAGATACTGCAACACAGACTCTGGGGTCCCCAAGCCTTGCCTCTTGAAACACAAAACAGCCCCCCTCCGCCTTACCACAACAACAACAAGATTCCATTTATAGAGCGCCTTTCACGTCGGGAGGACGTCCCAAGGCGCTGGACAGTTGGGTCAGGACCCAAGCAAGGGGGAAATGGTCAGGGTGAGGGGAGGGAAGGGAGGAGCGAGGAGGGGGTAGAGAGTTGAGAGGGGAGCTGAAGGCACGGTCAAAGAGAAAGGTCTTGAGACCAGCCTTGTAGGAGGAAAGGGAGGAAGCAAGGCTAAGGCACTGGGGGATAGAGTTCCAGAGCCTGGCGGCTGAGAGGCTGAAGGCCCGGCCACCGATGGTAGGGCGGTTGGGGCGAGGGATGTGGAGCAGACCAGAGCCAGAAGAATGGAGGGTATGGGCAGGTAAGTAGGGGGATAGTAGGTCGGAGAGGGAGGAGGGAGCAAGGCCGTGAATGGCCTTGTAGGTGAGGATGAGGATCTTGAATTCGATCCTCTGGGAGATGGGGAGCCAGTGGAGGCGAGCGAGGGTGGGAGTGATGTGGTCCCGAAGCCTGGTGCGGGACAGTACATGAGCTGCAGAGTTCTGAATGACCTACAGCTTGTGGAGGGAGGTGCCGGGAAGGCCGACGAGGAGAGAGTTCCCATAGTCCAGCCTTGAGGTGATGAAGGCATGGACCAGTGTTTCAGCAGCGTGAGGGGTATCCGTAATCCGTAGTCTGGCGATGTTTCGGATGGAAGGCGGTGCCAGTTGTGGCGCGGATATGAGGAAGAAAGGACAGCTCAGGGTCAAACAGAACCCCGAGGTTCCTGACTGGCTTTGAGAGGTGGAGAGTGCAGCCTTGGATGCTAATGCTGTCAGCGCCTGAGGTGCGGAGGCGCTGACGCGAGCCAATCAGGAGGGCCTCCTCAACCTAAAAAACATGAACACCCCTCCTCCCCCCCACCCCACCCAGAGAGTCCAGCAGTGTGAAGAGGTAACAGAGTATAGAGGTAACAGCCTGAGGAGGTAACAGTGAGGAGGTAACAGAGTGAGGTGGAACAGAGTGGGAATTCTGTGCGGGAATTTGGTGAGAGTGGGAATTCTGTGCATCAATTTGATGAGAGTGGGAATTCTGTGCAGAAATTTAGTGAGAGCAGGAATTCGTAAGATCACCACCTTTGAGATGCTACTCTTTAGCTTGTTCCCTAACTTCTGATACTCTCCCTGTAGGTTTTAAACCCTTTTTTTCCCTAGGTCATGAATCCCAACATGGACCACAATTTCTGGATGTTCCCCTTCCCCTATAGAATGTTTTGCACGCATTCCGTGATATCTTTAACCCTGGCACCAGGGAGGCAACACACCAGGTAGAAGTCACATTTTTGGTGGCAGGAACGTCTGTCTACTCCTTTCACCGTTGTGTCCACAATGACAATTGCACTGACATTCTTCCCTGGGTCCCGTTGTGCATCCATTTGGTTTTAACTCTTCTCCCCACCCTCACTGGTACTCAGTACAGAGAACTGGTTAGTGAGTGCTACGCTCTCAGGGGATTTCTGCACTGCCGTCCCATCTTCCTACAATGCCGGGTGGTCACCCACTCAATCGCCTCATGAACTCTCTGTGGCTGTAGGGTAAACACCTCCTGGAACGTTCCATCCATTAACCTTTCAGCCCCCATATGATCCATAGTGACACCAGCCTCTCCTCGAACTCAGAAACCCTAGGTCAAGCTCGACCAGTTGGAGGCGCTTCCTACACACGTGTTTGTCCAGGGCACACAAAGCATCCTGGAGATCGCACATTGTGCGTGCAACCCATCTCAGCTGCCCTGCCATATTCCCACACATATTTTATATTATTTTAGTATAATTATGATATATTTTACAATTATGCACCTATTTCGCACTCTGCATCAAATTCCCATTCTCACCAAATTCCATAACAGAATTCTCACTCTGTTCCACCTCACTCAATTCCCACTCTTACCAAATTCCTTAGCAGTATTCTCATTGTGTTTCACCTCATTCAATTCCCACCCTCACCAAATTCCGTAACAGAATTCTCACTCTGTTCCATCTCTCTCAATTCCCACTCTCACCAAATTCCTTAAAATAATTCTCATTCTGTTGCACCTCACTCAGTTCCCACTCTCACCAAATTCCTTAGCAGAATACTCACCCTGGTCCACCTCATTCAATTCTCATTCTCACCAATTTCCTTAACACAATTCTCATTCTGTTCAACCGCTCTTAATTCCCACTTTCACCAACATAATTTTAAAAAATTCACTCAATTCCACGTTACTCAATTCCCACACTTACCAAATTCCTTAACAAAATTTCTGATTCTGTTCCATCTCACTAAATTACCACTCTAACCGGATTCCTGAGCAAAATTCTAACTCTGTTCAACCTCACTCAATTCCCACTTTCATAAAATTCTTCAACAGAACTCTCACTCTCTTCCACCTCACTTAATTCCCACTCTCACCAAATTCCTTAACAGAATACTCAGTCTGTTCCATCTCATTCGATTCCCACTCTCACCAAATTCCTCAACAAAATGCTCATTCTGTTCAACCTCAATAAAATTCCCACTTTCACCAATTTCCTTAACGGAATTGTCACTCTGTTACTCCTCACTTAATTCCCATTCTCGCCAAAATCCTTAACAGAATGCTCACTCTGTTCCACCTCATTCAATTCCCACTCTCAGAAAATTCCGTATCAAGATTCATAATCTGTTCCACCTCATTCAATTCCGGTTCTCACCAAATTTCTTAACAGTATTCTCACGTTGTTCCACCTCAATCAATTCCCACTCTCACCAAATTCCTTAAAACGTTTCTCATTCTGTTCCACTTCACTCAATTCCCACCCTCAGCAAATTCCGAAACAGAATGCTCACTCTGTCCCACCTTTCTAAATTCTCCAACCAAATTCCTTAGCAGAATTCTCAACTTTTCCTCCTCACTCAATTCCCATTCTCACCCAAATCCTAAACAGAATGCTCCCTCTGTTCCACCTCACTCATTCCCACTCTCACCAAATTCCCTAACATTATTCTCATTCTTTTCCACCTCACTCAATTCCCACTCTCGCTAATTTCCTTAGCAGAATTCTCACTCTGTTACTCCTCACTCAGTTCCCACACTCACCAAATTCCTTAACGCAATTCTCACTCTCTTCCACCTCATTCAATTCCCACTCTGGCCAAGTTCCTTGACAAAATCCCACCTTTTTCCACCTCACTCAATTCCCAAGCTCACCAAATTATTAACAGTATTCTCACGCTGGTACACCTCACTAAATTCCCACTACCACCAAATTCCTAAACAGAATTCTCACTCGGTTCCACCTCACTCAATTACCACTCTCACCAAATTCCTTAGCAGAGTTCTCTCTGTGTTCCACTTCACTCAATTCCCATTTTCACAAAATTCCTCGACAGAGTTCTCATTATGTTCCACTTCACTCAATTCCCACTCTCACCAAATTCCTTAACATTATTCTCATTCTTTTCCACCTCACTCAATTCCCCCTCTCGCCAATTTCCTTAGCAGAATTCTCACTCTGTTACTCCTCACTCAGTTCCCACTCTCACCAAATTCCTTAATGGAATTATCTTCGTTCCACTTGATTCATTTCCCATTCTCACCAAATTCGTTAACAGAATTCTCACTCTATTACTAGTCACTCAATTCTCACTCTCACCTAATCCCTTAACGCAATTCTCACTTTCTTCCACCTCATTCAATTCCCACTCTGGCCAAGTTCCTTGACAAAATCTCACTTTTTTNCCACCTCACTCAATTCCCAAGCTCACCAAATACTTAACGGAATTCTCATTCTGTTCCATCTCACTCAATTACCACTCGTTAATTTCCTTATCAGTATTCTCACGCTGTTCCACATCACTAAATTCCCACTATCACCAACATCCTAAACAGAATGCTCAATCTGTTCCTCCTCACTAAATTTCCACTCTCATCAAATTCCTTAGCAGAATTCTCACTCTGTTCCACCTCTCTCAATTCCCACTCTCACCAAATTCCTTAACAGTATTCTCACTCTGTTCCACCTCTTCAATTCCCCTCTCACCAAATTCCTTTAACAGTATCTCATTCTGTTCCACCTCACTCAATTCCCACTCTCGTCAATTTCCTTAGCAGAATTCTCATTCTGTTCTACCTCACTCAATTTAAACTCTCTCCAAATTGCTTAATGGAATTCTCATTCTATTCCACCTCACTAAATTCCCACTCTAACCAAATTCCTTAGCAGAATTCTCACTCTCTTCCACCTCACTCAATTCCACTCTCACCAAATTCCTTAACAGTATTCTCATTCTGTTCCACCTCACTCAATTACACTCTCGCCAATTTCCTTAACAGAATTCTCACTCTGTTGCACCTCACTCAATTCCCACCCTCACCAAATCCCTAAACAGAATGCTCACTCTGTCCCACCTTTCTAAATTCCCACTCTAACCAAATTCCTTAGCAGAATTCTCAACTTTTCCACCTCACTCAATTTCCCCTCTCGCCAATTTCCTTAGCAGAATTCTCACTCTGTTACTCCTCACTCCGTCCCCATTCTCACCAAATTCCTAAAAGGAATTATCTTTGTTCCACTTCATTCATTTCCCATTCTCACTAAATTCCTTAACGGAATTCTCACTCTGACCTAATCCCTTAACGCAATTCTCACTCTCTTCCACCTCATTCAATTCCCACTCTGGCCAAGTTTGACAAAATCTCACTTTTTTCCACCTAACTCAATTCCCAAGCTCACCAAATTCTTAACAAAATTCTCATTCTGTTCCACCTCACTCAATTCCCACTCTCGTTAATTTCCTTATCAGTATTCTCACGCTGTTCCACGTCACTAAATTCCCACTATCACCAAAATCCTAAAGAGAATGCTCAATCTGTTCCTCCTCACTCAATTCCCACTCTCACCAAATTCCTTAACGCAATTCTCACTCTCTTCCACCTCATTCAATTCCCACTCTGGCCAAGTTCCTTGACAAAATCCCACCTTTTTCCACCTCACTCAATTCCCAAGCTCACCAAATTATTAACAGTATTCTCACGCTGGTACACCTCACTAAATTCCCACTATCACCAAATTCCTAAACAGAATTCTCACTCGGTTCCACCTCACTCAATTACCACTCTCACCAAATTCCTTAGCAGAGATGGAGGCCAGGACATCAGCCAATAACTCCCTCTACGCTGTCCGTCTACAGTCCCAGGTCAGGGTTAGAGACACAGTAACGCTCCCTCTACACTGTTCGTCCACATTCCCAAGTCAGGGTTAGAGACACAATAAAGCTCTCTCCCTTCTTCCCACATCACGGAATCTGAGCTCACAGTCCATGCTGACGCCCCAGCACATTGTTAGAGAAGCTGTTTGTCAGGATGCCGGCCGACATGTTCTCTAGATCTAAAACACCAGACAACGTGCGCACGGCAACGCCTCTGTGAGGTGAGCGAGGGATGTTATCTGGGAGGATTGTCAGCAAGGGAGAGAGAGAGAGAGAGAGAGAAAAATTCCCTTCTCTTGTTTAACACGTGACTGAAAAGACACAGACTGGATCTCGGTTGAACGTCTCACGTGAAGGATGGCGTCTCTGACAATGCGGCACACTCTCTCTTTCTCTCTCCCCCCAGCGCTGCGCTGGAGCATCAGCCTGGACTGTGAGCTCAAAGTCCCCGATATGTGGGGTTCAAACCCACAAGTCCTGACCCCAGGGGGAGAGCAGTACTGACTGAGTCACTCCTGGTGTGAGAAGTAACGGTGGGGAGTGAGGGCTGGACAGCTTTGCAAGTTGTCTGCTCTTTAGTTGACTTGTTGCAGATGTTGCAGTGGAGAAGTCTGGCAGATGTGGCAGGACACATAACATCTGTACAGCTGGAGCCTGAGCCCAGTGTGACTCACACCGAGGTCAGAGCTGAGAAGCCTGAACAGCCCAGCCTCGGTCACAGCCGACCACAATGCTCACTCCGCACCCATCACTCCCCCACTTCACTGCCACTCATCACTCCTCCCCTCACGCCCACTCCTCACTCCCACCACTCACTCCCACTCCTCAATCCCCCCTCACTCCCACCCCTCACTCATCCCCTCACTTCCCCTCCCTCACTCTCCCTTACTCATCCCCTCACACCCCTCGCTCACTCTGCCCCTTACTCCCCCCTCCTCACTCCACCCCTCACTCATCCCCTCACTCCCCCGAATTCCCACCCCTCACTCATCCCCTCACTCCCCCCAAATTCCCACCCCTCATTCATCCCCTCACGCCCCCCTCACTCACCCCATTCACTCTGCCTCCCTCCTCGTCTACCCACCCCCGAGTCCTTATTGTTTCTTATTTTAAAGTGCTTTAAGAGTAATAATAATAATAGTCCTTGCATTTGATACAACGCCTTGTCATGTCATTGAGAAGTCTCAAAGCGCTTCACAGAATATATTGTAAAGTGTAGTGACTGTGTAGTTTGTGGGCGAAACCCGGCAGCCAATTGCCCACAGCGGCGTCCCACAAACAGTCGTGGATTGAGTGACCAGATTTCTTTGGTACAGATTATTATCCCACGGAAAGTGATCCGCCAACAACCGGGTTCTTACTTATTGGTAGGTAAACCATGGCGTATAGAGAAAAGAAACTTTCCTAAGGTTTCGCCCTGCCCGGGAATTGAACCCAGATCCTTTCGCTTGCGAGGCGAGCGATAATAATAATAATAATAATAATAATAATAATCTTGCATTTGATATAGCGCTTTTCACGTCGGGATGACGTCTCAAAGCGCTTCACAGAACACACTGTAAAGTGAATTGACTGTATATTTGTGGGCGAACGCGGCAGCCAATTGCGCACGCTGTCCCACAAACAGTCGTGGATTGAAGGTGACCAATTTATTATTGTTTTTGGTTTTGGAGGGATTATTATTAGGCTCTGTGTGGAGTAAGGAAACTTGCCCAAGGTTTCGCCCTCTTCCTGGAATTGAACTCAGGTCTCTCACTTGCAAAGCGAGTGCTCTAACCACTGAGCTACAGGACTCCACGATCTAACAACTAGGACTCTAAAAGTGGGCCGAAAGGTCTTCTTCATCCAGACTGATAGCTGTGAGGCACTGCGTGAGATGTACGGTGTGTGTTAATATTAATCCCCGCTCTCCTCTCCTCTGGCAGGTCTTGGCTAGCGATGCTGACAGTGGTGGTTACGGTGAGGTGCGGTACTCTCTGAGCTCGGGGCCGGGGGGGCTGAGCCCCACGCAGTTCAGCATTGATGAGAGGACGGGGGAGATCTGCACCACGCGCAGCCTGGACAGGGACGAGGAGACCAGCGTATACCATCTCACCGTCACCGCCGTGGACGGGGTGAGACGTGCCGCCACAGCACACATCGGCACTTACAGAACATTCCGGCATGCCAACACCCCGTCCAACACATCCAAAGGCACACAGAGCAGAGAGCCTTTGGACGGACAGTGTAGAGGGAGCTTTACTGCGTCTCTAACCCTGACCTGCGAGTGTGGACGGAGACTGTAGAGGGAGCTTTACTGTGCCTTTAACCCTGACCTGGAATGTGGAAGAACAGGGTAGAGGGAGCTTTACTGTGTCTTTAACCTTGACCTGGGAGTGTGGACGGATAGTGTAGAGGGAGCTTTACCGCGTCTCTAACCCTGACCTGGGAATGTGGACGGACAGTGTAGAGGGAGCTTTACATGTCTCTGACGCATGAGGGAGTGGGTTGCAGTGTGAGTGTGTCTCTGAACGCTATCTTGACAGGGTGGGCTGAGGTCCGAGGCCTCTGTGAAGGTGTACGTGGACGACGTGAATGATAACCGGCCAATCTTCTACCCTCTGGGGTACGCGGTTAGCCTGAGCACGCAGAGCCTGCCAGGCACCGCCGTGCTAACCGTCACCGCACAGGACAAGGACGGCGGCAACAACGGCAGAGTCACGTACCGCATCGTGACCGGCAACGATCCCCCGCTCTTCACCCTCAACCCAAACACCGGTAAGTCTCGCTCCCACCTCCTACGTGGTCTCCCGTCCAGCTCAGCGCTCGCGCTGACTCATCTTCTGTGCTCTGTTCAGGTAGATGTTAAAGATCCCGCAGTGCTGTCAGGAAAAGAGAAGGGAGTTTCTCTCAGCCTTGCTGGGCTCCTGTCTCTATCACTGTGATCAGCCTCACTGCTCTCCTCTGTCTCCTATCACTGTGATCAGCTTCACTGCTCTCCTCTGTCTCCTATCACTGTGATCAGCTTCACTGCTCTCCTCTGTCTCTAACACTGTAATCAGCCTCACTGCTCTCCTCTGTCTCTAACACTGTAATCAGCCTCACTGCTCTCCTCTGTCTCTAACACTGTAATCAGCCTCACTGTCTCCTCTGTCGCTAACACTGGGATCAGCCTCACTGGCTCCTCTGTCTCTAACACTGGGATCAGCCTCACTGCTCTCCTCTGTCTCTAACACTGGGATCAGCCTCACTGCTCTCCTCTGTCTCTAACACTGTAATCAGCCTCACTGCTCTCCTCTGTCTCTAACACTGGGATCAGCCTCACTGCTCTCCTCTGTCTCTAACACTGTAATCAGCCTCACTGCTCTCCTCTGTCTCTAACACTGGGATCAGCCTCACTGCTCTCCTCTGTCTCTAACACTGGGATCAGCCTCACTGCTCTCCTCTGCGCCCTAAACCCAGCGCTCCGAGGCTCTAGGGCGACTCTGCTCCCTGAGGCTGTGACCGCACCCCCATAGAGGTGAGCAGGTTATGATGTGTAGTGAGTGTTGCTTGGATCGAGGGGCACATCCCTTCCAATTGAGCGATGGTTCCACCAGTTGGAGGTGTGGAGTTTAAGCAGCAGCTGCTTATCCTCTCTACAAACCAATCCAGGTCAGTTCCAAACTCTGAATATACGAACATGTGTCACAAACTCAGACTTCAAGTAACACCTTCCAGCAGCTGTCGCCCCAAACCTCAGAGTTTCCTCACAGCTATTTGGCGGACATCTGCCTTCAGGGTGGTGGAAGGACCTTCACAGCACAGCTTGCTATCCCAGCCACCTTGATGTTCTCAAGGTCCAAATGCATTGCTGGTACCCAGGTTTATTCAGCACCAGCTTCTTTACCAGCCATAGCCTTGTGTATACACAGCGCCCACATAGGGTTACTCAGCACCAGCTGCTGAATTTAGGTCCTCATGTGAGGGATCGTGTCTCTCGGTCTTCAAAGGGACACTTCCTATCCCACACAGCCACTTCCTGTATTCATGGCTCCCATCCGGGCCAAGCATTGTTTACAGTGAGCGGCGGAACTGAGTCAACACCACCACCCCCACCCCGCCACCCACACCATGTCACACACATAACATGTCACATACACACACACCATGTCTCACACACACTGTGTCACACAAACACACTATGTCACACACCTCGTGTCTCACACATACACCCGTGTCAGTATCTCACACACACACACACACACAGTGTGTCAGTGTCACAGCCCTCCCCACCCAACAACAACAAATTACATTTATAGAGCGCCTTTCACGTCGGAGGACGTCCCAAAGCGCTTAATAGTCAGGTGTCGGGGCCCGAGCATGGGGAAGGGTTGGGGTAGGGGTGAGGGAAGGCAGAGAGGTGGGATGGAGACCAAAGGCACGATTGAAGAGAAAGGTCTTGAGACCG